CAGTGCGGTGCCCTCTGAGGGTCACTGTATGAGGGGGAGGGGGGGTATTTGGGGTGTATTGTCGCACTATGGAGCCGCACCCTGCATACAGACACACAGCCACAGCTCTCCTCCCCTAGTACTGCTGCCAGCAGCACACACGCTCCCCTTCCCCCTCCTCTCAGGAGGCCGGGCCTCTCTCTCTCTCTCTCGCACTGTGTCTCCTCTACTCTCACTTCCTGAGGCGTCACATTTCTCCTCTATGTGGCCACAGGCGGCCTCTCTCTTCCCTTTCCTCTACCCGTTTCCCCTTTTGCAGTATTTTACATCGTCATCGTCTCCTCATGACATACACACACGCTGCACATGGCGGCCTCCTCCTCCTCTCCCGCCTCAGGTTCCTCTGCATTGTCTGTGGCTGGCCTCCACAGGTCTCTGGCGGGAGGGTTAGGAGAATGAGAGGTCACATAGCCGGCCATGACCCCGGCTCACCCTTTGTGTAACCCCCTCCAGAGGGTCTGTGTAAATATGGAAGCCCCCCTCGTGTGCAGGGAATGGCGTAGGCTTTGCAGGACGGCGACCTTAGGAGTCATACGCACCAATGGCGTGTGTGAATCGCATGGTACCGTGCAGCAGGCACATTGTTTTGCCATTCACTTAAATGGCACCCCAAAACGCACCTCCTGGCCTAGTGCGCTCAGTCGCAACGCACAGAACTGCAATACCGTGTGTGGCGGTGCAGTTGAAAAAAGGAGTGCATGCACTCTTCAACCAGAATGCATTGTGTAGCAGTGCTGAGCGTTGTGGCCAAAGGCATTATGGCCAGGAGGTATGCCTGGGCTGCCTTTTAAATGAATGGCAACACACATGCAGCACTGTGAGGGCCCATTCACAACAATGCCGTGCGTTCATTTCATGGCTCCATGTGATTAGCACACAATATCACAAATTGCACTTACCATGCTTTACAGAGTGCAAACGGGCGTTGTGTTGCCATTCTTTTGAATGGCACCCCAAACGTACTGCCCAGCCGAAATGTGTTTGATCGCATCATAATGCTCTGTATTGCCATGCAGTTGAAAAAAGTAGCACGGTAGCGCACATTGCGGCCGGGAGGTGTGTTTGGGGTGCAATTCTAATGAATAGAAATGCACCTGCTGCACTGTGCTGCATGGTACCATGCGTTAATTGCACAGAACCATGCAATTAACACACAACATTGGTGTGAAAGGGCCTAACGCACGGTAGGTGTGTTGTGTAATACTGTGAGGTAATCACATGGAACCATGCGATTGAAGCACAGCATTGGTGTAAAAGGCCCTAAGCCTGCGTTCACACTGGGCGCGTTTTTGTCATCCGACTCCCCATAGACTAGTACTGAGCTTACATCTGACTCCCCATAGACTAGCACCGAGCTTACATCTGACTCCCCATAGACTAGCACCGAGCTTACATCTGACTCCCCATAGACTAGCACCGAGCTTACATCTGACTCCCCATAGACTAGCACCGAGCTTACATCTGACTCCCCATAGACTAGCACCGAGCTTACATCTGACTCCCCATAGACTAGCACCGAGCTTACATCTGACTCCCCATAGACTAGCACCGAGCTTACATCTGACTCCCCATAGACTAGCACCGAGCTTACATCTGACTCCCCATAGACTAGCACCGAGCTTACATCTGACTCCCCATAGACTAGCACCGAGCTTACATCTGACTCCCCATAGACTAGCACCGAGCTTACATCTGACTCCCCATAGACTAGCACCGAGCTTACATCTGACTCCCCATAGACTAGCACCGAGCTTACATCTGACTCCCCATAGACTAGCACCGAGCTTACATCTGACTCCCCATAGACTAGCACCGAGCTTACATCTGACTCCCCATAGACTAGCACCGAGCTTACATCTGACTCCCCATAGACTAGCACCGAGCTTACATCTGACTCCCCATAGACTAGCACCGAGCTTACATCTGACTCCCCATAGACTAGCACCGAGCTTACATCTGACTCCCCATAGACTAGCACCGAGCTTACATCTGACTCCCCATAGACTAGCACCGAGCTTACATCTGACTCCCCATAGACTAGCACCGAGCTTACATCTGACTCCCCATAGACTAGCACCGAGCTTACATCTGACTCCCCATAGACTAGCACCGAGCTTACATCTGACTCCCCATAGACTAGCACCGAGCTTACATCTGACTCCCCATAGACTAGCACCGAGCTTACATCTGACTCCCCATAGACTAGCACCGAGCTTACATCTGACTCCCCATAGACTAGCACCGAGCTTACATCTGACTCCCCATAGACTAGCACCGAGCTTACATCTGACTCCCCATAGACTAGCACCGAGCTTACATCTGACTCCCCATAGACTAGCACCGAGCTTACATCTGACTCCCCATAGACTAGCACCGAGCTTACATCTGACTCCCCATAGACTAGCACCGAGCTTACATCTGACTCCCCATAGACTAGCACCGAGCTTACATCTGACTCCCCATAGACTAGCACCGAGCTTACATCTGACTCCCCATAGACTAGCACCGAGCTTACATCTGACTCCCCATAGACTAGCACCGAGCTTACATCTGACTCCCCATAGACTAGCACCGAGCTTACATCTGACTCCCCATAGACTAGCACCGAGCTTACATCTGACTCCCCATAGACTAGCACCGAGCTTACATCTGACTCCCCATAGACTAGCACCGAGCTTACATCTGACTCCCCATAGACTAGCACCGAGCTTACATCTGACTCCCCATAGACTAGCACCGAGCTTACATCTGACTCCCCATAGACTAGCACCGAGCTTACATCTGACTCCCCATAGACTAGCACCGAGCTTACATCTGACTCCCCATAGACTAGCACCGAGCTTACATCTGACTCCCCATAGACTAGCACCGAGCTTACATCTGACTCCCCATAGACTAGCACCGAGCTTACATCTGACTCCCCATAGACTAGCACCGAGCTTACATCTGACTCCCCATAGACTAGCACCGAGCTTACATCTGACTCCCCATAGACTAGCACCGAGCTTACATCTGACTCCCCATAGACTAGCACCGAGCTTACATCTGACTCCCCATAGACTAGTACCGAGCTTACATCTTACTCCCCATAGACTAGCACCGAGCTTACATCTGACTCCCCATAGACTAGTACCGAGCTTACATCTGACTCCCCATAGACTAGTACTGAGCTTACATGTGACTCCCCATAGACTAGTACTGAGCTTACATCCGACTCCCCATAGACTAGTACTGAGCTTACATCTGACTCCCCATAGACTAGTACTGAGCTTACATGTGACTCCCCATGGACTAGTACTGAGCTTACATGTGACTCCCCATAGACTAGTACTGAGCTTACATCTGACTCCCCATAGACTAGTACTGAGCTTACATGTGACTCCCCATAGACTAGTATCGAGCTTACATGTGACTCCCCATAGACTAGTACCGAGCTTACATGTGACTCCCCATAGACTAGTACCAAGCTTACATGTGACTCCCCATAGACTAGTACTGAGCTTACATGTGACTCCCCATAGACTAGTATCGAGCTTACATGTGACTCCCCATAGACTAGTACTGAGCTTACATCTGACTCCCCATAGACTAGTATTATCATTATTATACAGGATTTATATAGCGCCAACAGTTTGCGCAGGGGCTGCATCCCTGGGTCCAGTGGTGAATCAGTTTGACCTGCACTCTGGCTGATGCAGACCCTACTAATCAATCCCTGACAGTTAGCAGAGGCACCACGAGGGACCGATCAGTATGATCTGCATCAGCAAGAGATGCAGATCATACAGATTCCCCACTTGACGACCAGGGTATGATTTTCATTCAATATATTGCCTGTTCGGCAATATATTAAATGAGATGTGGGCGTTTGCCATCTTTAAAAACTAATGTACAGTGTAGAGACCCCCTGGGGACACCGGAGAAGGCATCCCAGGTGAGAGTCTGGAGCGTGCGGGCCCCGGCCTCCTCCGGTGCTGTGGGGGGCCCAGCCACATCCTGGCCTGTCACTTAGTTGTACGGCCGATACCCATGTAATGTTGCACGGGCCCCTAAGGCTGGCCGGGCCCCTTACATCAATATCGGCCGTACCCCCCTGACGGCGGGCCCGGATATAGCCAGGGGCAGAGTTGTGGATGGCTTTGTAAGTGGTTGTTAATATTTTGATATGTATCCTTTGGGCGATTGAAAGCCAGTGCAGGGATCGGCAGAGGGGGGTGGGGGATGGAAGGATAACAAGTGTTTGGATGAGTGATTTTGCGGTTTCTTTGGTGAGAAAGGGGCGTATTTTGGAGATGTTAC